TGCGATAGCGTCTAAATGTGTTTTGGGGGAAATGTCCGGGCTGCAAAGTAACCAGTACGGTAATAGCCTTTCAGTTCCCCCCAACCATTTGTATTGAAATAAATCAACATGGAACCAGTATACACTAACTTTGTTTCCCCCGGCCCCTTATCGGAGAGCACCCAGCTAGTAACCTAGCAACCAAGCTTCAGCTAACGGCAGTCAGAAACTAATGTATCTTAGAATCTACTTACAAATAAATATGGGGAAGTGTAAGTTCAACCGTATTTGGTTGGAAAACATCGAATTTAGTGCTTTGTTGAAACCAGGGGAGGGGAACGTCTTTGAAGCCCGCTCTGCACCTTTTGCAAAATAAATTAGTGTTTGTTTGGCTAATGTAGCGTTAGCTAGTGCAGCGTTAGCTAGTGCAGAAGCTCCCGCAACAACACCGGGGGACCTCCGGGCAACGTTTGGGTCTACGTCAACCCTAAAAGCGGAGGTGCTGTAGACGCTAAATACCGTAGTTAAACACCAATCATACAACAGCAACGATGAAAGACTGTAGCCAAGGCAGCAGAGCTCTGAATATAGCTCTTGTTACTCTCTCTCTCTCTCACTCACACACACACACACACACACACACACACACACACACACACACACACACACACACACACACACACACACACACACACACACACACACACACACACGGGCTGCTCGATTATGGCAAACATCATAATCACGATTATTTTGGTCAATAATTGATATCACAATTATTAAATACAATTATTAATTGACTTTGAAAACATCCATTTATTGAACTTTAAAACAAATAATAATTTGGACAGTATCTTTTTAACTGTTGATTACCCTGAACGTATAATTCAACTGAAAAAATTAATTAAATAAATGATACATTTAAATAAATAATATCAAAAATAATAAATACCAATAAACAAGATCAAAAAATATTTTGGAGCGCACTTCCACAAGCTACTAAACATATATAAATATGATAAATAAAAATAAATTAGACTAAAATTAATTAGATCAAATATGTTGTAGTGCACTGTCACAACCTAGCAAAGCAAAATAATCGATTATGTTTCGTAATTGCGATTAAAATACGATTAATTGCACAGCCCACACACACACACAGAGACACACACACACACACACACTTTTTGTCTAACACACTAACACAGTTCTGTGCTGTTATGTTCAGTCATTGTTCTTATGTTGAACATGAATACATTTACTTTGTAAGTAATTATGGGACGTATTTCTTCTTTCATAGCAATTTTCCTTCATACTTTCTTGCCGTGAAATAGGTCTTAAATTCTATTCAAAGTGGTCTTAAAAAGGTCTTAAAAAGTCTTAAATTTGAGTTGGCGAAACCTGCAGGAACCCTGACACACACACACACACACACACACAGCTGCTGAGAGTTTCTATAAATACTCGTCCTATCTATGGGCTTTGCCACTGGCTCATCCAGTTGGTGATTGACTGGCTGCTTGAAAGTCTCTCAGCCACGTGCAGTCACCAAGGAAACTCTGCAATCTAGAGCTGTGCTGTCAGCTGATGTTCAGCAGTGAGAGGGAGAAATAAATGGAGTGGTGCAGGAATGAGTCCTAAACTGAGGAATGAATTGGCAATTTAGCACTTCATGGCTCCCTTGTCTCGAAATCAATGTTTTTTTCTGACATGTTTCTGGTGATTCCCGAAATAAGGTCTGGGGTTAATACAGTGGTTCTCAAACTTTTTCTGTCAGGCTGTCTTTGGAGAAAAAAAAAAGTCGGGCCCCCCCAACACAAGTCAGGCTCAGTGGCGGCGCCAGAGATTTCTTTTGGGGGTGCTGTTGGGTAGCTTGACGTTTCATAGAGGGTGCTCAAACATTTAGGGTTTCCCATTAATGTACCGGGCGCTACAGTGGAATCTTCTACTGCAACACTCCCCACGCATATACACAATGTACCCGACTGTTACAATGAAGGCTCGATAATCAGCTCACGGCATATAGGTGTAAGCAGGGGTAAAGTGCTATTTTTATAGGTGGTGTGTGGACCTCACATAGGGGGGTCCCGGGGTTTTATTTATTTTTAAATATTGAAGTTAAATGCATCAATCTGGTGCACTTTGAGAGCAAAATGAAGAGATCTATGGATACCTCTCTCAACACCCAAATGAAACAGAACTGTAAACAGGTTTACTTTTTCTTTATGGATATTTTACAAATCACCCTTTTAAACTTTATTCTTTTTTTACTGTCATATAGTATTTCATACGGGTTTTTCATTTATTCTCTTATTTTTTTATAACTATAATGATCATATAAACGTGTGCCTCGGAAATAATTGTTTACATTAATGGTGACCAAAACGTTTGAGACCCACTGAGATAACACAGAGAGAGTCCTTAGGTCACTGAGTCTCTCAGTCTGACAGCAGAGGACTCTCCTCCACTTTGTTGTTGAAAAAACTCCTTATATCCGTTAGCGTAGCTCGCTATCACCAGAAGCTAACAACAACGATCTCCGGTACCGGTGCGCTCTCTCTCTCTCGCTCGCGCACGGACACAAAATGGCTCGTTCCACACACACACAGAGCCGAGCTTTAATGAAACACAGAGACCCAGACGTAATAGTACTGTACTGTATCATATTATTTTCGAATCAATAATTTTTCAAATAATGATTTTCTTTTTTTTAATAACCATTTTTCCTCCTGGTCTCTCGCGCCCCCCCCCTGTCATGCCTCTGCTCCCCCCAGGGGGGGGCGCGCCCCCCACTTTGGGAACCACTGGGTTAATACATGCTTAGGAAGTTCTACACAACAAATTCCTCACTGGCAAAAAAAGCTATCATGCTATTTTTAGGCAATAGCATAGGTCTCAGATATATAAAATATATAAAAAACATGTCTATGAAGTGTTTTGCTCAAAATACCAAACAGATCACCCATTCTAGCCATGCCTCATATCCCTCTATTTCACTTCCTGTTTCAAAAGTGCTGATTTGGGGTATAAAGCTTTAAAAAAAAAAAAAAAAAATGTGATAAAGAAAAAAAAGGAGGGGGCTGAGCTCATGCGGGAGATTCTACCGGCAGATTCTGCGGTGATGAAACGCCATATCATGGATTATCAAGGATTATTTCTGAAACAGTATGGAGCTCAAAGGCTTTCTCTCTTGCCGGTTATACCACAAGGTGAGTTCCTTTTTATTTCCTGCTTCTTCACACACAGTTTTTGCTAGTGGAGCCTCGCAGATGGGGGGTGCTGCAGCCCCCTCAGCATCCCCCCTTACTGGTGTCATTTTCTGGTTGCTAACGCCATTGTAACACATAAACACTGATGTTCCGCTGTAACGGTGGTAGACCATAGTGGTAGACTCATCAGAGTACAGTGGGCTCACAGGGAGGCGGGGGGGCAGGAGCTCCAACAAGCCGTTTAGGACAGAGAGTGAATACACATACTATACAGAGATGCTGTATGAGAAACCAATGTGAGTTTGGAAAATTGCACAATATAAATCTATTTTAGTAGACCTCAACAATGGAATTATGGTCAGTAGAAATGGCCATGACATGGGACCTTTAAGATTTGTTCACAAAGTAAAAGGTTTGTTCCTGTTTGTTTCATTTCATTTCAATTTCAAACCTTTATTTATCCAGGTGTATCCCATTGAGATCATTGATCTCTTTTTCAAGGGAGACCTGCTCAAGTAGGTTCCACATGAAACATTAAAACATAAACAGAACAACAAAAAGGACATCATACAGCATCAACGTGTATGCCTTAAATAAGGATTCACATGTATGACTTTGTGACTGCTACTATGTTTCTGAAAACATTAGAGATGATATAAAAAGCAATACATTAACATAATCTAGATTCACATTTGATCAGCGCTGTCTAATCCGAGTTCACAAGCAGTGATAGACACTGTTAGACTTCTTAACTCTAACTGGTTGTTTTTCTTTGGGCGTACTGGAATTTTGAAAATGCAATAAGGAGTATTAGGAGGCAGGGGAACATGTTTTTATTCATTGATATGGCAGGATATTATGACAGTTTGAGCAAATATAAATACCTTTTGTAAGGGTTACAAACTGACCGTTTTCAACATACAATGATGTATGATCGCTCACTTTTTGCTGCATAGAGGAAGCTTGTGTCTGATCATGTTCACTACTGTCTTTCAGTCGACCTGTATTTAAAAACTGCATCTAAAATAAGCTTTGTGTTGATTCTGAGCACACCTTGAAGAATGTTTACTTATCGTCCAAACAGATGCTTCCTGATCTACATGAATATGATATTACATTACAGGGACAGAGCATAATCACTACATGTGTAAATACTATGGTAACCTAGTGCTGGGCAGTATACCGTTTCATACCGAATACCGTGAACTTTATACTGTATGTTATGAGTTTTCATATACTGTACAGCAATACCGTTGAAAAAGTGACAAAGGGCGCTCGAGCGGCACATGCTGGGGTGTCTTTATGATGTTCATATTGTAGCCATTTTGAGTGTTAGATGTGTGTTAAAGTCTCTATATTGAGGGATAATGGTGCAGTGCCAGCCAAATTGCACTAGTTTTATTTGTTTAAATAAATAAAGTTGCACTTTATTTTTTTATTCTGAACCTAAGTTTGAAGGTCAATCATAAATCATAATAAAATAATTTAAATGTGCACTCAGCAGTTTCAGGGAAGGGGGGATTTGTTTACATTTCCAAACAGTGCTTTTGTTGTTAGTTGTTATGTGGTATGCAAAGTTTGCAATTAAATGGTTTCAGTTTGCAGTTGTTTCATGCATTCTCATCCCTTCACCACATAAGACACTGATCAGGTGATTCTTTGTGGGGCCAAAATGTATAAATGTAAATAAATGTTCATGTGATACCGTTATCATTTGGAAAAATACTGTGATATGAGTTTTTTGTCATACCTAGTGTAACATCATGCTGCAGCTCACTTTGACCTCACGCTGTGTGGTTTTGTGGTTTGTAGGTATGACACTGGTAAAGATGGCTTCATCGACCTGATGGAACTGAAGCTAATGATGGAGAAGCTGGGAGCTCCACAGACTCACCTGGGCCTGAAGAACATGATCAAGGAGGTGGATGAAGACTTTGATGGCAAGCTGAGCTTCAGAGAGGTGAGTGCTGCCGTACTGTGTGGCTTTTAGTTATGATGCAAGTCATTTCATTCCAGATAGCTAAAACTGATCCTTTATCATCATCACTTTCAGTATTTGGTTGTATTAAGACAGGTCACTCTTGGGCAGAGTATTTAATAATCTGAACAACATGATTTTCAGTACAGACACAATTATGCTGTATGGATGTGATGTCTGTAATGCACAGCACACACCACCAGAGATCACTCTCCACTACGGGAACAGGCAAAAAAGCAAAGAAAAATGGTGCTGAAAAACGGTGGATATTGAAGGGGCAGCACATTTCCTTAATGAGCATATATCACGGCCTGAAGTGAGCTATTGCTTTTATAAAACGGTTACCAAGTGTGGCAATATGAAAGAAAATACACACTCTAATTTAAATAGTTTTTATTAGTAAATAATGATGTTCAAAATAAAATAGTCCCTCCGTTGCCTTCTGCACAAAACATAGTGCAAGGTGGTTGCTATGCAACAACACTAACAACAGCTAGCGAACATATTAGACAGAGAGCGTTGATCCATTATTTGGCTATTTATTTACATTAATGTGTATGTTGCCATTTATTGTGCACCCACTGAAAAACTGTCCAGCATCAGTAGCATGGCTTACGTGGTCACTTGTATAGGCTGAGGTTGTTCTAGGCTGTTGCTTGGCGTGGCGAGAATATTGCTCCACTTTCTCCGGTCCCCGAGATTCGGCTTCCAGTAGCTCTGGAGAGAGCTTTCGCACCTGTGGCCACTAACGGTCATAATTTCTCTGCTTTGTTTCAAGACCCGCATCAGAAAGCTTTTGAATGGTGATACTTTTCCAGTTGGTCTACCTGCTCTTCACGTAGCTCTGCATGTCGTCGTTTAGGTGCTTTTTGTTTCTGGAGATAGGCACTCCTCAATCCACTCCTCCATAGTAAGACCCCCCCGGAGGTCGAAGTTAAGTAAGGGATAATGTGCAGCGAGGCGGTCATTATGGGTAAAAGAACACCCGACAGGCAGATCAAAAATAGTCCGTTGTTACTGTTTGAACTACGTAGCAACGGCAGGAACTGCTTCGATAGCGTTTTTGCGGACCTTTTTGATTACAGATTTGAAAACATCGTTGCTTGCTTTAAAAGTAGCACAATTCATTATGTCAAACCTTGGAAAGTATCTAAATATCCCTGCCCTAATGCCAAAGGAACTGGCAACTGAATATGTTTTGCTGTTTGATGTCTATGTCTGGACCACTGCGTAAAAAGGAGGGTTTCTGCCCCGTTACTTCTCCGCTGTTTTCTTGTCCCAGTTTGAAAAGCAAACTGCATGCAGTTTGCTTTTCATCCCAACTGTATACAGTTAAATCGACCGGACTTCTTTCTGCAGATGTGAGCGTCCTTAAAAACGGTCAATAAGTCCTTGCTGCACATTATCCCTTACATGTTTCCATCTTAAGCTTTGTTAGTTAGTTAGTTAGTTTCGTAACGGACGTAATGTACGTAATGTAACAGTTGTAACGGTTGTAGCTTTTCTCAGACGAGGAGGGATACTGACTTGTTGTGAAAAGTAACTACAATTCTACCCGTGATATACGCTCATTATATCACGGCTAAGAACCAATCAGATTATATCACGGCTAAGAACCAATCAGATTCAGGGTGCGTACGGGTGCTGGAAATCCTTGAAAATGCTTGAAATTGTACGAGGTGTTTTCAAGGTTTGAAAAGTGCTTGAATTTTGGGAATGGTGCTTGAATTTGGGATAAAGTGCTTGAAATTGTAAATGCTTTACTTCGCTTTTTAGATTAAAAGAAAATAAAGAAGTCGGAGCGCGCTTAATTGCTTCGCTTTTACATAAAACAGCTCCGCTCCGACCTTCCCGCGCAATGCGCGTGACCGGCAAGTGTTTTTGTTACGCGTGTGACCTGGGCATTCTGATGAGTGATAGATGACAGTATGCCAGGAGGTTGCCGTTTCAACGAGCGTTGGCTAGCAGAAGACAAATACAAGCCATGGCTAAGACGAGGGTCAAGCGAAGCCCAAGAGTAGCCTCCTGCAAAGTGTGCAACAATAACGATGCGAGAGTCTGCGCTGACGAGCCACACACCACACGAAAGGTACGCCATAGTAGAGCATTTTAGATTAGGCTATCGTTGCATGTAAAATACATGACACTTTTCTCTGTGCAAAACAAGCTCGCCAAAATGGCTTCACTAGTCTGGCAGTATTTTAAGTGTCCGAAAATGACAATAAAATAGCGGTATGCAACGTGTGTGTGAAGCAGAAATCCTGCAGCTCCACCCGCTGTGACGGACCGGTGAGCGGAGCAGAACACACATTAAGAGTTAGACCTAACACACTTAGCTATTTTATCTACCTCTGGAACAAGCTAAACTAGTTATAAATATATTTATTCTTCACTGTCGGGTCGCTCATTACTGGATCAGTGAGCTGCAGGAGATACTGACGGGCTGTCAGGAGAGAGAGAGAGGGGGAGAGAGGAAAAGAGAGCGGTATCGGCCGATACTGATTCCGGCGATCGGCTCCAAAATTGGCGATCGGAGCATCCCTAATAATTGTATATGATATGTTTTATAATGATTGATCATGAAAGTGTTCTCAAAGCTGGTAAAGTTGCAGCTAGTTTGAATGACTTTGTATACTACAGAGTAGCTTGTGAATTTACTCCAGGTGGAACTAAAGTCTGATTTAACACTTGATTATATTTCACATCATTCATCCACATCTGTAAAGTAACTAAAGGTATTAAATACATGTAGTGGAGTCAAAGTACACCATTTACCTCTGACTTGTGTTTACTGCCAACCTAAAAGTACCTCAAAAATAGTAATCAATAATATATTGAAAAGTTATTTAGCTGATTGTTTTATATTGGCTCAGCCAGGTTATATGGGATGCCCAGTCTACGTACAGATGGGTCTCATTTTGAAATATTAAACTTAGTTTTCTTTTCTAACATTTTTAATTTTTCATCCTCATGTAGAATGCTATTATGAAACACACATTTGGTTGTTTATAGCATAAAGAACATCAGATTTAATGTGAGGTAGGGAAATAATCATTTGAGTATAAGTATGTGTATATAAATATGTAATTTACAACAGCTGTAAGATGCTTGAAAAGCTTGAAAATGCACCTTGAAAATGCTTGAAAAGTGCTTGAATTTGACTTTGGAAAAGGTGTAAGAACCCTGCAGATTGCTTGATTTGACTTGTCTGTTTTTTATATATATATATAAAAACATTAAAGCATTAAAGCATTATATGTCCTCTTTAATATGATATTGTGCATGGATTTACCTGAGCCTCTTTTATGGCCTGGGGGTTTGAGTGCAGAAGCCTGGCGCTCCACAGAGGGTCTCCCTGTGTGTGCGGCGCATGGACATGGACAGACATTTATGCATTTACCAACACCTTTTCTCTCATTTTTGTTTCAGTCTTCATTAAATACACCTTCTGGCATATCTTTGTACCTTAACATCCTCTAATCCTAAATCCATTAAATATTTATTTTAAATTGCCTTCTTTTGCTTTGCTTTGCTATTCATTGTTTGTTGTTTTGATCGTTGTTGACTACTTTTATAGATAGCTTATATATTTTTGATAGTGTATAGATAGTGTAATTGATAATACTTAGTCTTACAGAAAGATTTGTATGCATGATATTTGTTCAATAAAGACTTAATAATTATAATAATAGTTTCTATTAATATAATTTGTATTATCATTATTATAAGTTTAAATACCTTACTTTAGCATTGTTTTAATTATGATATAACTTTTACTTTACGTTAATTTTAATTATAATTTTTTCCACAACTGCTGCGTCAGTCTAAGCCAACAAATGACAGATATTATTATCTTTTATTACATGATATTAAATAAATCGGGTAACTTTATCTATAAACCCTTGTAAAAGTAGTTAATCAGCTAAATGTTATTATTACATTTAATTATATTTGACCTGTAATTTGCGCCTCCAGTTCAGTCGCCAGTCCCCCATCCAGGATTAAAGGTCCGTTATTATCACTCATATAAAGTCTGAGACCAGCAGAGGAACCCATTCAAACTTTATTTAAGAGTCCCTGAAGTTATAAGCTAGACTTCTACCTTTTCATTTGTTATTTTAATCCACTGCTTGCTTCATAAAACACAGTTATGTGGGAGAAATACTCCACGTGACTTTGACTGTTATTTTTGTTCCGGGTACAATAAAGAGGTCAAAGGGTGCGTTTAAAGAAGCTCGGAATTCCAAAGATTGGGATTCGCTCCCCAACAGCACCATTATTCTATTACTCATTTATTTGTTATTATACTCTGTATATTTCTATCTGTTGCGTAGTGCAATTGTATATTGTAGAGTATTTAAATCTATTCAGTATTTTCTTTATATTGTGTATTATTTAGATGCTCTAGTGATGTATAAAGAGGTACAGTACAGCGCTGCACCATCAGTGTCTGATTTATTAAAACAACAACATTGTAACTGAGAAACACTTAAATGCTACATTTCAAATGTTTACAATCCATCACTAAATTCATGGCAAACCAATTTTAACATCATGCAATAACACAGAGACAACATTAGTTGTATTGAACTGATCTTTTTTACAAGTTGTATTTACAATTTAGTGAGAAACATGGGCTTGTGCTTCACTGAGGATCTTTGTCATTCTGACAGGGAGGCAAACTGCAGTTATTACACTTCGCGTTTTGAAATATGTGTAACTCTGTTAATATAAAACCCACACTGCTCAAACTTCGTTACTTTTCCTAAGATTGGTATATTTGTTTATTTATTTTGGGGCGTGGGGAATGAAGAGAAAAAAAGATGAGCATTTATACCTATAACCGCCAGACGGGATTTTGACCCCTCATATGCATACAGTAATGCTGCGCTATACTTTGCGAACCACTGCTTTAAAATATGCAGCACTTCTATAAAAAAAAAGTATATTACTACATACAGTATGCCCACAGCAAAACTTGTTTTCTGAGTGTTACTGAACCTCTGCAGTTCCTGCTGATCTTCCGGAGAGCGGCGGCTGGAGAGCTGCAGGAGGAGAGCGGTCTGATGGCTCTGGCCAGGCTTTCCGAGATCAACGTCTCCACAGAGGGAGTGATGGGGGCCAAAGACTTCTTTGAAGCCAAGGTACTCAATGTTTGTCCTGTAATCTGCTCTAACATTAACCTTCAGTCAGAAACTGAAAGTAAGGCAGGGCTACTCAGGATATTTTGTGTTGATGGGAATGAACACGTGATTTTCTGTGTCGACAGATGCAGGCTCTGTCTCTGGGCAGCAAGTTTGAGGCGGAGATTCGGGAGGAAAAAGAAGAACGCAAGAGACAGGAAGAGGAGAAAAAAGAGAGGCAAGCCGCCTTCAAGCAGCTGCAATCCACCTTCTGTTCATGACCCGCCACAGGAGGCACATAACAATCCTGACATGCACAGTCAGTGTTACTGACATTTTTAGGAATAGCTTTTCATTCCACTTACACTTTAATCAGTGACATTGCTCAAAATGTGGGACTAATTAACAAAAATAGCAAGTTTCATTAAAGTTAACACTCACTTAAATACTTGAAAATACCTCATAACACATGTCACAGGCAAGGTTTATTAATTCCAGACTTTCTGCAGCTGTCCCACAGAAGGCAATAAGGCAAAAACACACATTCAGATGTATAAGGAAATATTAAGTGATATCTCCAAACTCATGGAAGTATCATAGATAAACTGTGCATTACTGTGGAATTGTTCTGTCCGTCTGTACAAGAACTGGAAGTTTTCATTTTGAGGGAATTTGACTTGTTTAGGCAGAGTTAAGCTGTTATCAGTCTGTCCTACATATGTTGTTTGTGAAGCGTTTTTGATTTAATGTTACAGCTCATAGTTGTTGTTAAAATATCGTATTATTCAGTTAACACTGTCAACCTGTGATGAATACAATAATATAGTAGTAGAATAACTGCTTCACAGTATTAGCATAATAGTAAGTCTTGACATCTCATAGTATGGATACATTTGTTGGTGGAAAATGAAGCTCAACATTGGTCCTTTACCTTTGGCTCAGTTGACTGATCCAACACTCAACAGGGTGTACTCTGATGGTTTTCATAAATTATATACAGTCTGTAGATTTGAGCCACACAAAGAACACTCCATGGTTTCAATATTGTGCCCCAAATCTTAAAATGACCACCTGTTTTCAAAGCAGGGTGGTTATATTTTGTTAAACTTAGTGCTATTTTTGTTTGCTTTCTTTCTGAGAGTGAGATGAGATACCTGTCCCATGTTTGTGTGTACACGACCTGAGTGAAGCAGTTGTTAGCTTAGCTTAGCATAAAGTAGAAGCAGGGGAAAATTGCTATTCTGGCCTGAAACAGCCTGTAGAGCACATGTTGTATATTGTTTGTTCAATCCACACAAAAGCAGGCATTTTGAGATTTTCGTGGCACTTAAGTCCTTCAACTTTCTTTACAAACAATAGTGTCATGTCTGTTCTTTAATAGCACAAACTCCCCCACATTTTTTAACGTTACCTCCAGCCCACCCTATCTCACCCTTAGAAAGAAAGCAAATAAACATTTTATTCCTTTCATGTTTCTTTTCACCTGTTGCTCCTGTTGTTATCCCTAAACCAGGCATTAGAAAAGGGGACTGAAGTGAAACCCTGTTGGTAAAAGCACATGTTAAGATTGAAGATGCAGGGACGGCTTGTATCTATTTAAGCATGTTTTCCTGTTGTTCCAGGGTTTCTATACCTTGGCTTGTCATTCTGTTTTTAGGACTTAAATTCTAATGACCCAAGCATTTGCACAAGGAATAAGTTGTCATGTGAATTTGATTATGGTGTAGTTCAATATTCTGTTTCAAGAGCATGCATGCATGCAATGCAAGTGTCTTATGTAAGCTAGATCATCTTATATATTTTAAATCAATTTAGATATTTTCCATATCAATTAGATCAATATTAGAAATATCCTGCAACATAGAATATACAAAGACAGTGACTGATGCGTGATCCAAGCCTTTAAGTTTAATTTCTTGAAGAAATAACAGAAAAGTTAACAGGAATCACTAGCTCAGTCTGCTTTAGTCTTTGTGGATAGGCAACGCTAAAAGAATTGTCAGTGTTGATAAAGCATTTATTTTAAACTGACACTCTGACGGGTTACACACTGTGACATAAGAATTTATATTGTAGTTTAATTTGTAGCTTCTCAAAGCAGATGTAGTGTGGGTTTAAAAGAGGTATTGTAGTTATTTAGCATTGCACTTTCAAAAAACGTACAAAAGACAGCTATTAGAAATACTTGTCAACACTGGATCATACATTCCCCAGAATGCAATGCATGTCATAATCTTTAAGACCCTCCCCCCCCGTAGCACAGATCTTTTAAACTCCACTAACTAAGTTTGTACCACAAGCTTCTTGTTATGACGGAGATCATATAATTATATAATTCAGCACCTTTGTCTGTGGAGGTCCCATCAGTGTTGATGGTAAATGTAGTTCCCAGTCTCCTGCATTTCTTCGACAATGTTCTCTGGCTCGATTAAATATCAGCAAAATATCTGTCATGTAAAACCCTCTGCACTTTGATTATGGGATACTATTTTCGGTATTAGAAATATAACTGAAAAAGCCAAAAGAACACGGAAGTTCGAAAGCGGAAGACTCTCCTGTAGTTCTTCTTTTCCCCCCCCCCCCCAACTACTTTATTGACATGTCTAATGACACTTGGCGATACAGAAAGCACAATATATTTTGCACCAGGAGAATTTCTCTGTCAATATAGATTGCACAGTGGAATTTATTGATTCAATCGGCATAACAAGTGGAACAAATTCTAATTTAGGAAGTTGTTGTCTGGTAACAAGGTAATAAGGCTTGACAAAGCTCCCTTAGACCTTTAAAATATATTTAGCTGTTTTCACAGGCTGTACCTACTGCTGTGTCAAATCAGTGGAGTGCCTCTTTAATGTGACCACCTATTGAAATGCATACTTTATGCTTGAACTGCCCACTGTCCACTCCAGTACTGCGTCTGTGACTCTAAACGTTCCCTACTTGAGATTATGTATGCAGTATCCCCATTCAGGGTTCTTTAAAATACAAAATGTAAAAAAACAACAGCATGACTGTCCTAATCTCAATGCCTTTCTCCTGAACAGAGTTATGCAGTGATCACATATTTTTGTAAGCTAATTTGGAAGTTAGCATTACAAGGGCTCCCTCCACAAAAAGCCATGATATTTTTCCATTGGTGAAATGCTGACACATTTCTGGGTTTATAGACTCATTCATCAACTCTGTCACAGCATGCCACACACTGACATGTAGCAAGAAGGACATTTCAATATTAGAACAAAGTCCTGGTGCTGCTCAGATTCATTAAACTACATTTAAAGTTCCAGTCCAGCTGCCCCCTCAGTAAATCTCCATGTCAGTAAAACTCTTATTATGCATATCTTTCTTCATGATCTGGTCCCAATAAATCTCTAATATATTTTCTAACTATGTGAGATTAGTAGTAACAGACACCAGGAGCTCGGAGTGTGCAACAAGTATTTTTAATAGCTTTGCTATGCAGCTATGTCATTAGCACTAGCATAAAAAGAGAGATGTGTTACTGAAAGGAATAGCTCCATATTTTGGAGAATTCACATTTTTTCAGAGAGTGAAATAATGTTATTCTCATGTTTGTGTGTTAAGTCCAGATCTGGAGTTGGGATGTAGCTAGCTTAGTTTAGCATTAGGACTGGAAGCTCGGTAAAACAGCTAGCTTGGCTAAGTCCAGACTGTCATTGTTAAAATCCCTTATATGGTTTTAGGGGTGACTGTTTTAACTGCACAGAGATAAAAAAAAAAAACGGGTATAAAAAAACAGTGCTCATCAACTATCAAGCAACCTGCACTCCAGTTGTTGGGCGTATGGTTAAATAGTTGTTCATCAAAAAGAAAAGTGTTTACATTTCTGTTTAAATACAGTTAAGTAACATAATATTAGGATGTGTCTGTGAGCTTTTGCGGTGTTGGCTAGTGTATTTTTGAGCTTGCTTGAACCTGCTTCCTGTTTTTACACTCTTACGCCTTGCGTTTAAAACAGCTAGTTAGTTACCTTCCCTGCTAGCTAGCACAGCATCATATAGCTGTCACCTGATTGGTTGTGTGTCGCAAGGTCAGTGTCATTTGTGCTCAAAGTTGAAATAGTTTGACTTTGAGTGTGGTGCTTGGTGGCCATTTTGAGCGTTGCGCGACGCCAGTTTATCTCCGGCCTAGTCGACTGGCGCCCCTCTCCATGAGAAACCAATAGCACAGCCAGCGCAGAGTGTTTTACCGCTTTTCATTTACAGGCAGCTTACATTAGGCTCATGTCCTGACTCCAACTCTGTAACCTATCAACACATGTTTTTGTGTACATGATCCTTCTTCATCCTTGGATGTTTGTTTTTTAGTGTTTAACGTCAACCGCGTTAGAAACCGAATACAGAACCTGCTCTATCCTACACCTGGACGCTGCCTATGTCAGAGTTTCTCAGCTTTGAAACAGGAGTCCATTTGGGGTTAACAAACAAACTTACTGTCCCGATATTAAAGAAGTATAAGAGCTCCGTCCCTACACCTGAAACACCACTGTTTGATACATTTGGTGTCATTTCAGTTTTGAAACCCAAAAATGGACTCACAGGCCTGGAAAAGCTGAACTGTGACCTAAGCAGTGTTTATGCAGGTCATTTATCTGGTCCTTTATTTACTCTGTAGTAATGTATTTGAGTTGAAGCATGTTCAAGGTGTCATATAACAAAACTACTGTACGTATCTCATACCTTCTTCGGTATTTGTTGTGGAAATTGACAATGTATTTTTTCATAAATAAAACACTATATATATTGTTATTTGTTTTAGCAGAGACTTATAAGTTGCCAAATATAATAAAAGTCAGTGAGATATATTTTTGGGCACTTGTAAAGATATTGTGTTGTAATACTCTGTCAGAATGGAAGTTTGACTTGATTGCAATAAAGCATAAATAAAACTGATAAGAAATACTGTATCAATCTCATTACTCAGGAAGGAGGAAATATTATTGGGAAATCATACTCTGTTTGTACTGTAGATTGTGATGTAAGAGCGACACCTTCAGGCCTTTTTAAAGGCTCCTTTTACATGAGCTGCATGGAGAAACACAGGACTTCCAGTGTCATGGAAATAATTATAAAGCATCTGGGTAATTGGTATAAACCAGGAATATATTAAAATAATTAATTAATGCATTTATAAATACAGTGTAGTGGTAAGCCATTAATTAAGTTTTAAATGTAATAAGAGTTGGTGGTTTTAATCCGTTTTGTGAAAGGGCAACTCCAGCATTCTATGAGCACACAAAAAAAGTGTACTGTAATCAGGACGTGAGGACATTTGAATTGTTTTTTCTCTTCTCTTATTGAATTATATTTAGAATTTTCTTAAGAATTGATCGACTTCACCATTGACATATTGTTATAGTTTAATGCCCTTCGTCTCCTTAATTTCTTAGATGTGACACTACATCCAACAAAAAGTATGGTAAATAATTGTCTGTATTCTTACTAGCTAACTAACTGTCCTAAAAGTCCTTCAACTTTAGCTTTTAGAATGGTTAAAAAAAGATTAAACAAGTGAAGATGCCCGACAGTGTGTGTTCTCCCATTGAGTGGTGCAGAAATTATGAATTAAGTTCCGTGCTAAACACATGTTTAAGATACTTACATGATGTGTTCAGAAAAACAATCTCCAGATATTGACACCACTTTTAGAATAGGTGAAGCATGAATGTAATCAACATAATTAAAAAGCTAACATTGACCTATCATGTCATTCCCGACATGATAGGTGTCTGGGTTGATGATGTTTAGCAGTCTCATTTAGTCACTTGTTAGAAACTGCGATTTGTAAGACACACACACACGATTCAGACCTTCAACAGTGGGGTATTTACTGACTTATTCGTTGTCTTAAAACAAAATGTGAAATACTTGTGTTAACTAAAAATTACTTTGAGATGAGGGAACCCAGAAGTGCTAACTTTTTTCCGGAATAAGGATATTCCACTTTAATGTTCTGCTTCGACAACTTTACTGTTTCCGCTCAGGTTTCTGTCAGCAGTTACTGTTTCATATTTGTGAATAGCTTGTGAATCTCAGGGGTTGTAGGCCTTATTGTATTGAAACACATTGGACAAATCTGATGGACAGAAAAGTGATTAAGAATGTAATGTATGCCTAATGTATGGTACTGTATATCTTGAGTTGATTAGGTCAAATGGATGTCACACATTTAAAGATGATTTCAGGAAAACCTGCAGTGTACCAACCTTACACCAGCAGGGAGAAGCACATCCTCCATTCAGGTCAGCACACACCACGGTAGCAATAATGTAGGAGTCCAGAAGCTAAATGAAAGAAGCTTCCCTTTAAAGCTTGTTTAGAAAATATTTATTTCATGGAATGTACACTGTACAAAGGCACTGAAGCATCTGAGATACATTGAGATCTCATCCTTTTACAATCACATTTTGTGGAACAATTCCTCTCGTATGTCTGAAGTTGCTACATGATTTATTTTAAACCATATATAAACAGCCTTTAAAGGGAAATACTCCAAATGAAAACACACTGCTTCCTAATTTCCTAACTTTCTTTGCTAATCCTATACCAATTTGAATGTACAATATGAACACAACACATTGATTTAAGCTTTTGCATAAAGATTTAAGCAATGATTTTTAAAAATAAAAGCATCAATCTACAAATCATAAGTAAGTCATTCTATGAGAGCCGTATTTAATTTCAAGCAGGTCAGTCTAATGTTATAAAGCTCACTTTAAGACATGGATGTCTTTGTTCCATAAGGCTTTCAATGAATAACCTTAGCAGCTTAACATTGACAGTGGAATTTCAAAACACAAACATCAGTAGAGGAAATCATTCATCATGAATGCCCTTTAGAGAGAAGGCAGATGAGTCATTGCAAACCGTCACTTCCTTTTTATTTCCTGCTCCTTCAACACTTTCAATATAACTGCCATTCCTTCTAACTCCATGTTCAGTTAAAGTGTTACCTTTCATGCAACTTAATATAACCTTCTGTGCCAAAAATAGTTATCATTATCTTAAGTGGAAAGTATTCATCACAGTATCATAAAAACGTAAAGATTCCACCAGTGTAATGTATTGTTGAACTACTTAAATGCCATGTAATCCACAACAGGTTTAAGGACAATAATAGTGTTTAACCCTCTGACTACGACACATCCATGTTGCCTGGCGTTTTCCAAAAAAACACTTTATAATTTGTAAATGTTCGTCTGTTGACTGTTTTTGTCCACACTGAACTATTTCAAAAACAATAGGAGGAATTCTTATGAAAGTTTGACATACATTTACGTTCTCCAGAGGATAAATCCAACTGACTTTTCCTTTAGCTGCATAGGGAGGACAACAGTTGCCAAAGACTTGGATCTATGACCAAAACCCTCTTCACTTGTAAGTACTTATTTATTAGCACTAACCTAAGCTGGTAGGAAAAACCGTAGGAAAAATAATGTGTTTGTTAGCATTGGCTGAATCCAATTGTGTAGACCTCAAACGTTCAGATAATCAAACTTCATTGCAACCTTTTCCTTATTTTTTTTAATCTTTTGTTAACTCCCTCCATCTGTTCTACTATAAGTCCAGTCTTTTAGCAAATTTCATAACAAAAGTCATGGAGGGCTCAGTTGCTACGTCCAGATGATGGACATTTGAATGGAGTTAAATGTGTTTCAGTATCTCATGAGAACTAGCACTGCATTACCAAACAGCACCAAATGATTGACTAAAATGAAAGGAGACATGATGAAACTGTAAGGTAACACGTGCCTGGAGAGTAGAACAATTTAACATGGCAAATCATTATGGTATTTCTTATATTATTATGACTCTTTAAACAGGAGTTAACTAGGGAGCATACATTACAGTGACTCACTATCTTTTCTCAAGGTAGTTTTGCAGAGGGCCAGTGCTAGTGGTACTTCACCCAAAGCAGTTGTCAATTGAGTGGTGCAGGAATGAATTCTAATACCCGGAAACGATTGGAACACTCGTGGTTCTATTAGGCGCATTCACACCGCAGTACTTTTCCCACAAAGGTTCATGAGAACTTAGTTCATGAGAACTCTTTAGTTCTCATGAACTAAGTACAGATCGCGTTCACACCGGAATAAGTCCCTGGGGGAGCATTAGGCAAATTAAGCCGCTGACGTCACTTCTTCTTCTTCTGCTTTGGGTTTACTGGCAGGCCGCAAACAACTTCACGGCGTATACTGCCACTCGAAGTCCCCGGCCCGAAGTCCCCGGCCCGAAGTCCCATGTTTTCTTTTGTGTTGCCATAAGTTAGTCTCTCTGCGTTTGTGCGCTGGGCTAATGCTAATGCTAATAATGCTAATGTGAGGATAATAAAATGGCGGCTTCACAAACTTTTTTGGAGTTTTACCGGGGGTGGTTTGCATTCCGCCCAGCCAATCAGAAATAGGAACCTTTTTCTCCCACGAAAGTCCCTGCTCTCTAGCAGGGACGGAAAAGGGGGTAAAAAAGGTTCTGATGAACTAATTTTAGTTCTGGCTCTTTTTGGTGTGAACACAACATTTCGGAACTATATCGGAACTAAAGTGGGAAAAGTACTGCGGTGTGAACGCGGCTATTGTCTCAAAGTTAAAACAAACTTATCATAAAAAGTAATACTTGAATACATATATTAGAATGATAAGACGTACTTAAAATGACAGTAACCATATTTGGCAAAAATGTATTTGCATTATACCAGGGTTTTTAGTTTTGAGGGGGGTATTTGGTACAACTTAATTTGTGGCTCATTTGAAAATGTACACACTACATGATTAACTCTGAATTAAAGCCATATTCTTAAATTGAATATGTTAAGGTGTGTTATGATTGATCAAACTTTTTCAGTAAGGTGTTGGGTGTTATTCACTGTACCGATTGTAAAGCCCCCATGAGGAACATTTTTAGAGGCGAAGTCCCTCCCTTTCCGGTGGACCTCCATAGAGAGCCGAAGTCCCTCCCTTTCCGGTGGACCTCCATGGGACCTTATTTAGGAAAAAATATGTATTGAAGTAAATGGGGAGAGAAAGATTATCTTTCGATCCCGTTTGAATTGTGCCACGAATTACACATATTATGTTTGTCAATTTAAAAGATAATTTTGCAAGTCAAAAAAAAAAAATGTGTCGTAAAACTATGAAGTAACACTTTTTTTGTGTGAAATCGCTCAATGAACTACATCTCCCATCTCACACCACACACCAAGACGGCCGTCACGTTGGCACATTTCACTTCTTTCTTTCAGAATGAGACAACAAGTATTAAATGACGAGAAAATCACTACAAGTCTGGGCATGTTGAGAGCTGCAAATACACAAAAGGGGAGTTAGTCGGTTCGTAAGAGCCAGCATGCGGGACCGGGATTCTGGGATTTGTAGTCTTTCTAGTTGCGTATTTTTCATGGTCTTATATTTCAACAGTTTTACGACAAACTGTGACTTTCTTGACATGGAAATTAGTTTTTAAGATTGACAAACATCATATGTGTAATTCGTGGCACAATTAAAACGGGATCGAAAGATACGTTTTCTCTCTCCATTGACTTCAATATATTTATATATAGTACTTTTTTTTTTTTTTTGCCGTAAAACTGTGAAGTAAGACCTTTTTTGTGTGAAACCGCTCAATGAACTACATCTCTGGTCTCGCACAACAACACACGTCACCAAGATGGCCGTCATTACTGTCTTGCCAAACAAGGGATTGACTACCCTCACTATCACCACAATGAAACACGTCCAGAAAGCTCGACAGAGGCTCTTCTTCCTCCGCAGGCTGAGGAGGTTCAACATGGACTCCAGGATACTCTGCAACTTCTACAGGTGCACCATAGAGAGTATCCTGACTGGCTGCATCACGGCCTGGTACGGAAGCTGCACCGCCCTCAACCGTAAGGCTTTACAGAGGGTGGTGAAAACTGCACAGAACATCACCAGGACGGAGCTGCCATCCATGGAGGACCTTTACTCCCAGCGGCTCAGGAAGAAAGCCCTCAGGATTATAAAAGACCCCCATCACCCCAGCCACAAACTGTTCTGTCTGCTGCCGTCTGGCAAGCGGTACCGCAGCATCCGGACTAAAACCACCAGACTCAGGGACAGTTTCATCCCACAGGCAATAAGACTGTTAAACACCTGAACTGTTGAAACAACATCCACAATATGCATCTGGCTGCTACTTAAAAAATATTTATCTATTTACCTAATAGGCCTATATCATATTTCAATGACTTGCATATAGACTCTTATTGCACTATTTCACTTTTTTAAACAATTTTTACTATTTACTTGTACTATATTTTTCTGTTTATCTGTGTTTTGTGTTGCACTGTTGGAGAAGCCTGTGACACAAGATTTTCATCGACATAACTACACTGTTGCTATGTTCGTTTGACAAATAAAGAACCTTGAACCTTGAGAAGAATGTCATGCAAAGCTGCCTGCCTGCCTTCCTTCGATTCTCCCTGAACTGCCTGATCTTTTTAATGTTCAATGTTAACCATTTGTGCGGATAGCATGAAGTAGAAAAGATCGCCGATGCTAATGTAGCATTAGCGTTAGCATGTCTCCCCCGGGGGCATCCGGGCTTAAACGGTGTATTATAGAATGATCACACCGGTGTGACAGTACTCTTCAAAGGGTTCACGAAATATGACTACTACTCTTACTGTTTAACATTTTGGGTTACTTAATGTTACTTCATGTTAAGGCTAATAAAAATGACAAGGCTAAGGCTGTAATGCTAACTAACGTGCTTGCTACTAGCTAGTTAGCTAACTTGATCCAGCCACTCCTGGTCCTTTCATCAGACAGGAAGCGAAAGAACGAGACCCATTGCTGGTATGATTACAACCTGTTACAAAGCAAACAGGCATCTTGTTAAAGTTATCTTATCTTAGCTATCTCTTATATTTAGTGGAGGAAAACAATTATGACATCACTTACGCGACTCTGGGATTTGTAGTCTTTCTAGTTGCGTATTTTTCAGTCTTATATTTCAACAGTTTTACGACAAACTGTGACTTTCTTGACATGGAAATTATTTTTTAAGATTGACAAACATCATATGTGTAATTCATGGCACAATTAAAACGGGATCGAAAGATACGTTTTCTCTCGCCATTGACTTCAATACATAATTTTCCGAAATAAGGTCCCATGAGGTCCACCGGAAAGGGAGGGACTTCGCCTCTCTATTGGGCTATATAAATAAAAAAAATGTTGGTCTCTACCAACTCCTGATGGAAATATCTAGCCCCTCAATGCCAACAGCCATAATGTGGCTCTCAGTTAATAACTCAAAGAGTATATTTTGCCATATGAACCAATGACCAAAGCAAGGCAAATAAAACCCAACCTCTGCCCATGAATCCAACAAACACAACTGGATATAAAGTGAGAAATCAGTGGGAGATAATACCCAGGTTGACCACTAGGGACTTCAAGTGATTGGAGTGAGGCAGTCCAAAGCAGCACCCATGTCTGATAAACATTTTAATTTCAAATGTTAAGACATAAATTCAGATTTACCAAATTAAATCAAGTACCTTCTGACAAAAAATATCTACCCCATTGTTACCTTCCCTAGTCATCCCTCAGAAACAGCCCTCTGTTCCTATTGGACGTCTCCCGTAGCATCACTCCATTCTGTCGCTGCCATCTCCGTTGATTTGCACAACACATTCCTTGTTCAAAGGCTCCTTTGAGTGGGTCGTTTCAAAGTGCTGGGTGCTCACCATGTATCTCCCCCGAGCATCCAGCCCCAAGGCGGGCACAAAGCAACGGTCAAACAGGATTTCTTGGCGCAGGTAGGAGGTCCTCTTCTGGCAGGAGTCACCAGTTCCCTCCTGCAAGGCTGATAGGAAGACCACCAACTCAAAATGGTTGGAAGTGCCCTCACACAGGGCAGGATAGAGGGGGCTCTGGCGGTCCAGGGGGTGGTAAAAGGTGAGTGGGAAGATGAAGAAGGGATAGGGCTGCTGGCCTAGATGATCCAAGTGGAAGTCCAGAGAGGTTTGGTGCAGGGCCTGACCTTCATGCTCCTCGTAGAGCACGGCGCACACTCTTACGTCCATTAGAGGTCGCTGCAGCAGGTTGCTGGCTCGTAGCATGAGGCACGTCTGGCCCTGGTGTTGGCCCACCACCACCTGGGGGCTGAACTGGATGGCTCCTGCTCTCTTCTGGGGACGCGCAATCTTGGCTACAAATGCACCTGAAAGTTACAAAAATAAACCATGATGAGATTTTTTAACAATTAGAATGCTTGTCTCAAAAAGCACAAGATACATTAACAGCAGAGATTATGCTTTAAAATGTTCAATCTAGAGGCTCAAAAGAGGCACCAAATTAAGGAAATGTAAATAATAATATGGTTTGCCATTGGTTTTGTTTCGTTGGCTGCATTGTGCCCCTGCCACAGCTATAGGTCCACATGGGTGGGTATTAGTGTAAACATGTGATAACTAATGGGGCAAGATTGAATATAAGTGGAGGCCTTGTGCAGGTAGGCTGTAGACTAGAGTGGTCAGTATGCTTCCAACAAAATGTGTCATACCATCTTACAAAAATAATTAAAAGCTCAAATATCCCCATGATGTAAGGTTTTCTGTCCAGCCTTTAAGTAATCAATGAAAATGCTTTGGCTTTCAGATTATTAGTTTGTCTCAAGCTTTCTGAAACCTTACTAACCCTAACCCTGGTCTCCCCCACCCGGTATGGCTAAGAAAGTCCAACTGTTAACTTCATTTATTAAACCAGCAGCCCCTAATAATGCAGTATTAAATCTGGTGAAAGAAAACACAAAACTCTGGATGAACCGTAACCTGGACATCCTCCTACAACATTACACTAACATCCTCCAGGACCTCAGTCTCAACCTGGCTCCCTTTAGCAGGGACTCATATGACAGGGCCCTTAAGTGGGCCTGTCAACGTTATAATAAGAAAGGCAAGGCAAGGCAAGGCAAGGCAAGGCAAGTTTATTTATATAGCACCTTTCAACACAAGGCAATTCAAAGTGCTTTACAAAAAATGAAAGACATTAAGAAAATGGCATTTAAAATCAGTCATTAAAAAGAAAAGATAATAAAATAAACATTAAAAGAAAAAATACATGGATAAAAGTTACAGTGCAGTTTAAGATGTGAATAGTTCAATTAAAAGCGGCGACAAAAAGAAGAGTCTTCAGCCTGGATTTAAAAGTAGTAAGAGTTGCAGCGGACCTGCAGGTTTCTGGGAGTTTGTTCCAGGTATTTGGAGCATAATAACTGAACGCTGCTTCTCCATGTTTAGTTCTGACTCTGGGGACAGAAAGCTGACCAGTCCCTGAAGACCTGAGAGATCTGGATGGTTCATAATTTAGCAGTAGGTCAGAAATGTATTTTGGGCCTAAACCATTCAAAGCTTTATAAACCAGCAGCAGCAAGAAACTCACCTCTTCATCTATTGCTACCTTACACTCCCTGTTAAACCCTTCAGACCCCCACCCTCCTACCCCTCTTTTGGACATTACTAACCCTCTTTCTTTTCCACCACTGCCACAGCTACCTGAACCCTCTCAGTTATTCCGTCCCACCCCCCGTAGCCTTCCCAACACCCTTACCTTCCCTTCAGGTATCACCACTATCCCCTCTCTTCCTCCTCTATCACTCCCTCCCCGGCCCATTAATCATCACCCTCCTCTTCATTTGACACAGACCCCCCCACCAACCTTGGAACTTGCCTGCCCCCCCTTAGTTATATCTATACCCCTAACACGGGCCCCTCCACCAACCAGTGGACCGACCCCCCCCACTTTCAGTCACACCTGCCTCTCCACCAATTAGTGGATCTGGCTGTCCCCCTTTAACCTTACCTGTCCCCCTCCCTAGCCAACTCTATCCTACCCCGGCAGGACCCACCAAACGTCTTAGAGTCATTTTAAGACCATTAGCTCTTGACTCTAACGGGAACCCCATCACCCCAGGACCTACAGGGCTCCCCCAACCCACTAGTGGACCAGGCCTCCCCCCTCCAGTACCTGCCGTTCCAATAAATAGTGAGTCTGGCTGTCCCCCCTTAACCTCACCTGCCCCCCTACCCAGGAAGAGTCGACTGGTATGGCTTACCCGACCTAATAGTATACCGGGCTTTCCCCTATTAGTACCTGAATATCCACAAATCATTGGATCTGGCTATCCCCCCTTAACCTCACCTGTTCCCCTACCCAGTAAATGCTATCACACCCCGGCAGCACCCATCAAGCGCAGATACACTACAGTGTAGTATTTGAATTCCCATGTGAAAAACAGGACAACATTACCCTTTAAAATAAAGTCTAAACACAACATGTATTACAGCATTGGTTTTAATGATGAAAAGAATATTAACATGTGCCCGTGCATCTCCCCTGTCACCGCTAGATGGTGACAGGGGACCCTTATTTCTTACCTAACCCCTCCGGAGCGCTGCGCTTTTCCCCTAAGCCTAACCTAACCCTGCCAGCGCCTCGGGACTGACTCCCCCAGTCCCTTTTATTATTATTCTTTTTTTATTTCCCTTATTTCCTAACAGGGCTTTTACAAACATTTTATGTATTTCCTTGGGGTTTTTAGAAGGTTATCCCCGAGAGCCAGTGCCCCACGCAACGCTCCCCTAACCTAACCCATACCCTTATACCTTAAATCCCCAATTTCTAGAACTGTCCTCGTAATGAACTGGGTAGAGCTTTAAGAGGTTTACATAGCAAACATTCTTCCATTCATTACCGTCTGTACACTGCAAGATCACATTTCTCTAATACTGTGTATTAAAAGGAATGGAGATGCTGTACTGTGCAATGTGAATATATATATCAAGTCCAAAATAACAGTTGATGCAAATATGAGCACATATGGTGCTTTTGTGGCCATCTTTACATTGCTTCCAGTTTTAAATGTTATCAGGCCATTAAACTGCCATTATGAGTTGTTTTCAAGAACGGTCTATTACTTAAAGGGCCCATGTCATGGCCATTTCTACTGATCATAATTCCATTGTTGAGGTATACTAAAATCGATTTATACTGTGCAATTTTCCAAACTCACATTGGTTTCGCATATACAGCATCTCTGTAAAGTATGTGTATTCACCGGTATTCACTCTCTGTCCTAAACGGCTCGTTGGAGCTCCTGCCCCCCCCTCCCTGTGAGCCCAGTGTGCTCCGATTGGTCAGCTCAGCCACTCTGTTCTGATTAGTCAACCACCAGAGAGGCTCCGCCCATGTTTAACACAGTGCTTTTTTCGGCTCTGAGCGGAACATCAACAATGATATGTTATAGGAGCAAATAATTCAGGGAAGGAAGGCTTCTAAGTATTTCCATCCAACTTTATTTTTAGAAATGTACAAAATGAACATGTGTAAATATACATATATACACTGTATATCATCCATTCCTCCCCTTATAGGCGTTTTCAGCATCTTGCCTATCGCAGCTTTGTAAGCTGGTGCTGGGGCTTTTTAGGACGAGGCATCAGAGTGGTCATCCCGTCATGTGTTGTCCGCCGGATACGCCAGGAGTTTCCTGATCTGGCTGGACGAAATCAAATGCAAATCACAAAATATTAGAGAAACTTAGTTGTTTTAGGTTCGTTAGCTTGCCAGCTAGATTAATATGCTAACCTACGTTTGCTAGTTGTTCAGTGTAATATGCCAACCTACAGTACTATGAACAACAGCTAGTGGTTCATATTAGGCTAGCAAGAACATGTTTACAATTGCAATCTTATACAGGTAGTCTGCTACGTTCGGTCATTCATTGTAGCTGGCATAAAAACAATGTTTTCCCTAGCATGTCTAGCTCTTGGTAGCCTTATTTTTTAGCTCGGTAGCATACACGCTAGGAACGCCAACTATAATGTAATTAAGTTTTGCGACTGACCGTACGGTAAATCACCCGGAGTATACTGTCTATGAGTATTTCGTGTGTGAATGCAGACATTCTCCTGCTATGAGATACATGTAAGGCCATCTGCTAACATTGGAGTTGATATATGGAAATGCTAGCAACTTAGTTAGCCCAGTTAGCACTGTGTCAATGGCTTAGCAGGCCAAAAAACGTTTACCCATTTAAACAGTCGTGGTAGATACCTTGTTTGTTTTAAACATCATAAATACACAAACAACAATGAATACTTACAGGTTGTGTACCCAAATCTCCCGCTGGTCCAAACAAAGTAGGAACAGTATCGTTCTTCAGTGCCCTACGCTGTACATATCCGGCATGAATCGTTGAAAGGTTTGTGAAGCTTTGTTTCGTGAAATGCTGGCAGAGGGTGTGGCCTCTGGGTATTCACACGTCACAGTACCCAGGAAGTAAACAATGGAAAATGAGAAATCTCCAACCTTGCCTATGCTTGGGGCAGCATAGACTGTGTTAGAGTTTTACTCGCTACAGGGTGTACTTTGAGGGTTTTTGACTCTGCAGACCGTTTACATGCATAAAAACCTTCATAACACACAAGGGGACGGGTAATAACCGGAAAAGCATGACATGGGCCCTTTAAGGCGGGGCAACCAGCTATAGGCAAGAATGTGCAAATTATCATCAATCAATCAATCCATCCATCCATCCATCCATCCATCCATCCATCCATCCATCCATTCATCCATCCAATCAGAACAGATTTCTGGTTACTCTAATGATTGGTTTAAACATATAACCAAACAACTAAATCCATTAAATAACTTGGAATCCAAGTATCAATCAACCAAAATGATACATTCAACCTCAATTATAATCAGTTATTAAATAGCATTAAAGGTGGGGTAGGTAAGTTTGAGAAACCGGCTCGAGATACACTTTTTGTTATATTCCATGGAATGCTCTTAACATCCCGATAGCAATGAATATCTTAAATCCATGAAAAAATGTCATCTGTGGAAGCCGTAGAACTGTAAAAAGCACGACCAATCATTTTAGCCGGCCCGGCTAAAATAACTGGATGGCCTACCTGCCTGTCAGCCTTCCATCTGTGCACAAACTTATCTCGTGCCCTCATTGGTCATGTGCGCGTTCGTGTGTGTTGGAGGAGGGGCTCTATAAGGAAGTGGCAGATTTTTTCCGGCTGTGTATTTTCAAATTCTAGCAATCTCGAGCCGGTTTCTCAAACTTACCTACCCTACCTTTAAGAGGAGCTGGATACTCTCTTTAAGCCCCCCCCCAATCTTCCTGAAAATTCCCTATCTGCCATGACCCCCGTTTACCCAGAATACAGCAGTCAATTCAATATACAAACAACAGAGAGGGCTTAATGCCCAAGATTCTTACCACTAGCTTCAATATATCTGATATCAGACAAACATATCCAATTGCGCCTGTTTTTGGTATGGAACAGAACATAATAAGGAGCTTCCTGTTCTGAATATTGTATTCATAGATACATCAGTCCAAACCCAACCTGATTCTAATTCAGCAACACTACTGTTGCTGCCTTGGGCAAAGCAAATCACAAACTCAACCTCAAATGATCTCCTTCCACTCTCACCCCATCTGGCATAACCCTATATTTAAAGTGAATGAGAAACCATTCAACCCAACTGCATGGATACAGACAGGAGTAGCCAGCCCAGGGCACCTTTTCCGTGTCAGCTCTTAAACAATCTATTAAAAATATCAAACCACTTCCAGCTGTACATAAGTTTCAAAGAAATAGAACAGAAGAATAGAATCAAATAGAATGTTATAACTTCCACAACAACGCACTCCCTTTCTTTAAAACTAGATTCATTTTCTCCCTTTTTTCTCCCCAGAACAATACTTTTTCATATTGGGATGATCAGCCACTCTGTTTAAAAGTGATCTGTTTTATAATACATTTAATCACAGCTTTGAGACTACTATTATATGAACTGTTTATCTTACAGATGATAATTCGGTACAAATGTAATACCAACGGTCGCCCAGCAGATGTCACATATTGCCTGCTTCTTAAGCTTTAAAACAATGAACTTACAAATGTAATGTCAAGGAAATATGTCCAGTATGGTGATTAGCTTCTGTTATAGACCGAGGTTAGGCTCCCATTGTGTACATTGAACTTATAAATGAAACTGGGACCCAGAGTTTCTTCAGAGAAGGCTTTAGTAAGAGGAGAGTTGTACCTGTGATGAATGCCTCCAGCATGAGCCCCAGCAGCATCTGAACAGCCAGTAGTGCTATAGCACTTGGGCAGTCCCCACTGGGGAACATGGTGCCGTAGCCGATGGTCAGCTGTGTCTCCAGGGAGAAAGAAAAGGCGGCGGTGAAGCTGGTTATATGCTTCACACAAACCACATGACCCAGTGGGGGGGCATCATGATCTAGCACAGCCAGGTCTCCGTTCAGGTGGGCCAGTAAGTACCAAAGGCAGGCAAACAGCAGCCAGTGGGCCAGGAAGGAGGCGCAGAAGGCCAGCAGGACCCATCTCCAGCGCAGACCCACCAACAGTCCCCACAGGTCCTGCAGGGCCAGCACCCAGGCTCTGCTCAGGGCCCTGCGCCACGAGCCTGGAGAGCGCAGCGGTGGGCGAAGGGCACAGTGTCCGTCTTTGGTGACTAGGCGCTGGCGGGTCGGCGTGGCCAAGAGAGGAGAGGAGGAAGGCTTGCCCCCCAGAACGCTGCTGTTGGACTTGGTTGTCATGGTTGTAGGAAGACCTCAAGCAAGTTGAGTCAGGATGATCCTGAAAAGATAACAATGCACACAGGGATAGGATCGTATCAGTCAGAGTCTTCAGTATCGTTCTTTCCATGTATTTTTTCTGCCGAATTGATTGCGATTTTAATTTTAGAAACATAACATGAAAAACAGTCCTCAACAAAGGGCTTTTCATTCATCATTTCTTTCGGTTTTTTGATCTTCCTAGTACACATTTCCATAATCTAACATTAAGATAGTCAACCACAACATAATTGGAGTCAACCTTTGTAGGAAAATGTACACTTAATGAAATGTTTGATATTTTTTTAAATCTTTCTTTGTATGGCTGGTGCCTGACGGATATTGGTTTAACTTTTCTGTAACAACACCTTTAGAGTCAACTTTTGTTACCTTGGTTGGTTATTGGCTAATGGTTACACAAGCCAAAAAAACGTTATGACATCATAAAGTGGCCAAAATCTGATCAGCTCATTTTCAAACAGGTTTTTATATAAATGGATCAGGACAAAAAGACAGAGAATCTTTTTTCCTGAAACTTCCAGAATCTCTTAACGCAGAGGTATACATGTCTTTGATGTATAAAAGACATGAAAAAGTGGATTTTGCATAATAGGTGACCTTTAGTCTTTGCATTTTACTAGCAGAAATATAGACTCTGAAGTTGCTTTTATTGCTCAGTTGAGTCCCACATTTAAAATACAGCAATTTATGCAGCAAATGTTGAAAAATCTGTATGAAATATTAGCAGATTGCATAATCTATAATCCATTTGGACCATTGCAATGAAATGTAGTGAGCACATTCATGCAGGTTGGGAAACAGTCCATGGACGTTTTCTGTGTTAACAGTGTAACAACTCTCTGCCAATCCAATGTATGTTTTTTTAATATCTCTGGACTGTACTTGACCAACCGTAGTCACATGTACCAAAAGTATAGGTAGCAGTATTAATAGGCTTACGTTTAAAATAACATTTAAACATTTCACTGCAATAAAGTTTTAATATTGTTCAGAATGACACATTTTTGATCAAAAGGTTTTTCATGTTGCCGTCTGTTGTTGTTTACTATAGAGTCTTTGTATGTGATTATCATAGGCATCATCTGTTAGCAAGCACACCTTTTCTTTCTGCTCGCACAATGTGATTGGCTTCTGTCAAATGTATTCAAAGAAATAAAGAGCTGCATGATTTCTAAGAATGTGGGGAGGTTAGGGTTAGGGTTAGGGTTAGGGTTAGGGTTAGGATTAGGGTTAGGGTTAGGGTTAGGGTTAGGGTTAATGAGTGAGTAGTGAGTAATTGGTGTTCAAGTCAAAGCTGAGTTAACCCTGCATTCTTGATGCCAAAGGAATAACACTTTCTAATCTTATTGAGAAATTGACCATTTATGTAGTGGCACCAAAAGAGCCAATCAACCTTAAAACCATACAATACTTTTACTCTTTTATTTTTGATTGATCTTGGTTAGAAGTAGCTAGCAAGGACATATTTCCCTTTAGGATTGGGTAAAATATTAAGCATCATTTTAACATAGTTCCCAAAATGTGAAACTGTTCCTTTAAATCCCAATGTTAAGCTGTATATACAGAATCACCATGAATCTAATTTAAACAGGACATATGTTTGTGGAGGAACTCCAAGCACCAGATGTATATGGAGGCAGTCCTGAGAGGCGACAGCTAGAGTCCTGTGCTCGTCAGAGTTTCTATTTCTATGTCAATATTGTTGCCAGGAGATTAGAGCAGGTCCCAGCTGGGAATCTGTCTGAGGAACACAGCAACATGCAGAGTAGGAATGTGTCTTTCATCTGCAGGGAGCTTTAAACTTACTGCACTGCATGGCTCTCCACTCTTCCTGTTCCCCAATTACAATATACATCCACTCTCATTTTACGTATGCATTCTTTTAAGCAATTGGTACTTCTTTCATGCATTTACTGTGAACTATCCTTAAAATACAAAAGCAGGTAGAATGAGAGCTTCAGTTCAAATAAGATGTACAAATAAAGATTGATCACATTTAGATTAACATTGTTGGTAAAGTACACATTACGAAAAACGTTACGTTTATTCAAATTCTTAAGATTTCTAGACTTTGAAACACAAATACAAAAGTTACTTGGTTTGGGTCTTCATTGACTAATACATGTAAACAACTTGAATCAGTTCAGTAGTTATGATTACATTGGGACAGCATGATCAACATTGGAGCACTCTGTGTTTTGAACCAAGCAGGGAAGAACTGAGCATTTCTTTTGGAATAAGCTGAAGCAATAGAAGGGTAATAAGGAGTGTGTCGGGTGAGTCTGTATTTGATTTAGTTAAAATGTTCGTCTTTGTGCTGTGGCTGGGGGAAAGAGACAGCAAGGTGGTCACATGAGAGCCATTTGCTGGACCTCAGTACAGTATGTCAGACATGTCACTGCATCAGTCAGTGATCACACTGACTCTTTATGCAAGGCTTCCTTTGTTTGTGAGACAAAAATATAAATATTAGTCTCATGTCTGAGGAAAGCAACAGAGCTGAAGTCAGGACATGGGGGTTACGTGCATGTAAGATGTCAGTTTATCTGTCCAACACTTCTGTTCAGCAAATCCAAATTCAGCTTGAATTGCGAGTTAAAGTTATTGGTACCAAACCAGGAAGCTGCACACTATGACAATTGATGTATAAAGAGAACTGGATAAAGCGTTAAGAGGCTCGGCCGGTTTATTCCCAGGAAAGTTGTTTTCTTTGTTGCATTAGCCAATTGGCTTCTTAAAATAAGATATCGAATCTTTCAGCAATCTCCCACATACATTAGGCCAATAGGGCATGCGAAATCTCCTTAAACCCCGCCTTCAATCCGCAGCATCACTGCTGTCTCGGCTCAGTCAAATGAATCAATGAATTGGAGTTTCCAAATAACTGTGGTTTCAGTTTTTAGCCCATTTTACAACTTTTAGGACTTAATGTTTTAAATGAGCGTTATCCAAGTGTTCAGATGTCTCTTTACCAATGTAAGTCAATGGGGAAAGTATTTTGGGGCCCAAATTACCTCATGTTACTGACACGGAAGTTGTGGTAGCACCGTTTTGCCACTACTTAAATTTGCTTTAATGCCCAAATCCCTTCCTGATTGGCTTGTTGAAGAACACACATAGTTTGAATCAGGCCAATTAAATCCTACATGTTAATCAGTGATGTTCAGAGGTGTTGCTACTTCTATTTTTTCAGTTTGGACAATGCCAGGCTAGCTTTTAGTCTTTATGCTAAGCTAGGCTAACTATGTCCTTACTCCACTTCTATTCAAAATAAGTTGTAGTTATCCTTTCAAGGTACCAATACTCCTGAATGAGTATTTCTTCTTTGCTTTTAAACAGGGCTCCTTTGTTAACTTTAGCAATGCAATTAAAAAATGACAGTATAGCTTTTACTTAAGTACCTATCTACTAATGCAAATAGGTATATAAAATGCCTTTTTAGGATTCACACTAATGACAAGGACACAAATCTGTCAGCAGTGTGTATATGATGCCTTTAATGAGTTGTTTTCCAACTCGTGAACTTTTGAGCCTAGAAATGATTATAAATTGAGAAAGGTATACATTTATCATGTGTTGTTTTTGTCTTATGTCCCTTTACTGTATATGTGTTTACTTTCACACATGCGTATATTTGATACTTGACTTTTATTATTATATTAGTAAAATGTTGAATCTCTAACTTCAACTATAAGTATAATTCACTTATGTGAACAGATTTACAGTTTTTCATTCCTGTGAGTTATTTAACATATATCACACTGCAAACAAACAACACTTTGTTGGAGATGTCCCTGAGGCTGAAGGAATACTAAGACTTCTCTGAGTGAAGATGACTACCCGTGACGGTGCCTAGTCAGCCATTTTCCCCGTCTCTTAGCTATTCGTGCTAACGTAGAAGTTAAGAGAGCAAGCTTGTGGAAAAGTTCTTCGCCTACTCGGAGGGGTGCAGAAAGTTTTATGTAACATTCAATCTGCAGCTGTTCTTCTATTCATTGTTAAAGCCACATTATCACACAATGCAAATGTCTGGAATAGAAAAACTACTCTTGATGAAGTCGTATCAACTTGGAATCTGGATTAGTCCCAGCTAGTTAACCACATCTGAGGAAAAGAAATGGCTTTTAGCTGATACAAAATTGTTAGGAAATCCATTCTTTCCTGCATTTATTGTAATTACCAAAATACATTATGGGATATTTGATTTCCCTTGCACAGACACACAGACACAGATCACTCATTTGACTGGTCAAACAGCCGGGCCATGTACTCACCTAGAGCTGCGGTCAGGGCTAAACAGGGGCCCTTTGACCTTTTCACCCAAGAGCTGGTCTGAGGTCTACCAAGTGGGCAAAGGGGCCGAAGCAATTGGAAAAAGAGTGTCACTATAGTTCCTTGGAGGACGGGTTGTAAAATCCCAGATGAATTCCGAGCAGAAACTGATGTCACCCCGGAGAGCGTGTTCCTGGTGTGGGAGCCGGACTGAGCGCGGCGCTCTGTGCTGCTCCGATCTGCAGCCTCCAGCTCCAGGGCGAGGATGATTCAATTGGTCACATTACCCTGCATGGAGCCTATTAGTGTTCCCGGAAGACAGACGACAGAGGGAGGGGGGGGGGAAGAACAACACCTTGTCACAGTTCATTCAAAGGGCTGCTTGTTGCTGGTTGGTGTCCTGTAGTTGCTGCAGCTGCGTAAAAGTTGGGTTGGCTGATAAGGTGGTGTAAAGGTGTGTGCATACATGTTTCTGCCCTCATCCATCTTTTCTTCTTCTTTATTCATGTGTTTTATATTAACATATCTTAAACTCAATTTATTTATCTCAACCTTTTCTTGAGATAAATATGGTGTAATGGTAATAAAGGATTTGGAAGAAATAACTCATTGCGATTGTATCAACTAAACCCATTTAGATTCATTGTTCAGCTCTAATGGAGATGTTTTAGGCATAATTACACACATGTTCAGTCTTTGTGTCTTTGGAAATATTTGCCGTGACCACTGGAATTAAAAATAAATTGAGAGTTTAAACTACACTTGGCTGTGCAACAGGATTGAAAGCAATTCTGGTTTTCTCTTTTACTCCAGCATCATACATTATAATTGTTTTAATTTAGATATTTTCGCCGATAGTCCTTTTTTTATGCATTTGTTTCTATTAAACAACTAGTGTAACCATAGGAACCCCTGCATGCACATGGTCTTGCATCAGTACATGGTTTAGTAAAGAAAACAACGATAAAGAAACATAAATGTTTCTTTAAATGTTTCTTTATAGTTGTTCTTTATTTAAATGTAGTTATGTTTTTGCCTTACTCTTAATGGATTCTCTATATTAGTCTTACAATACTCACACCAAGTGTCAATATTACATTAAAGATTTAATATTATTGGTCCAAAACGTTTTTTTGTTAAAGAGACCGGCATCACACGTTACTTCCTCACTGTGTGACAGTGAACAGTTCACATATTAACCAAATAGTTCACTACTGGTGACTTAATAACAGTAGAGCCACATGACGGGAGGTCAAAGGTCATCACGGTTTTTGTCCCCTGAGTAGCAGGACAGTCAGTCTGTGGGTGTTTCTCAATCTCGAGTAAAGCTGCTGCAGAGCCACTATTTCAAGCATACTACGTCATCGAGTGCCGCCGAAGGACTGTTCCAATGTCCAGCATACTTGGAATTCTACCGAGTCCGGCATACTTCGTTTGGAGACATTTCGAGGCTGCACATGAGTAGACTCCGCGGTCTTAAAATCCCCACAATGCTTTGCGCACGGACCAATTTCCCCAAATCTGTGGAGGAAAATGTAAGGCGGGGCCTCTCATATGACGCACACCTGCACACTTGCTCGCCTGTTCCATTCTTCGTTTTCCGAGGCTAGGAAGTATTCTTGCCTCGCTTCTGAAGCAAGATGCTCGGCAGACATGTGCTACCAAGCAAGCGTACTCGACATTGAGAAACACCCTGTGGTTGCAGTCGAATAGTCCATTTAGCTTAGGAACCTTCCTAACGGAGTGAAATGACCCGGAAGTCCCTCAGTGGCAGCCATGATAAGTGCCGTTCGAATTCTCTAGATGAAAGGAAAGGAGGTTTCAAACTTCCTTTATAACCTCCTTTAGCTTAGGAACCACTGGACCTCCCTTTACGAAAGGAGAGGAGAAAATGCTGCCCCACAATGCCTTGCAGCCGCAGCATTTGCCGCCACACAACATTCGGCCGTTCACGGAAACAACCGATTATGACCGAGAAATTATATCATGAAAGTTACGGTGCTTATTAAGCTTTTTAAAACGGTAACTTGCCAAAGTGCTTTGTTTTGAACGTTGATCAGTACTATAATCAAAAAGAGAAATATGAACGTTAGTTTTTACTGAAATGCCTAAGGACACATCATCATGTTGGCTGCGATGGCTGGGGATCGAACTGCTGACCACTCCATCTCGTGAGCCACAGCGTCCACAGTTCAGTATTATGCTGAGAAATCAATTCATCTGAAAAACTGCAGGTATGCAGTTATCAGTGGTGAAAGTACCAAAGTCAAGTATTGTACTTACGTGCAAATTTAAAGGGGACCTATCATGCAAAATGCACTTTTGTACGTCTTTTATACATGAATATGTGTCCCCGGTGTTCCAGGGAACTCACCAAGTGTCAGAAAACACAACCCTCTCTATTTTCCTCCATACCCAAATCTCTAAAAAAGGGGCTGCAACGGATCTGATAAAAACTGATCCAGATTTGAACACTTCTATGAGGTCAGGACAGTGGCGCTACGGCTATTGGGCCAACTCCACCAATCAGGAGGATGCCGTTCGAAAGCGCTGGAGACGCTGTAGTACATATGCCAGGCCTGTAGGTGGTGCTGTTCTCACTGAATCTGCCCTTGGGATACAACAGGGATAAAAAAGTGCAAATTGAGCAAAATGAGGCATGGCTAAAATGCATGATCTGTTTGGTATTTGGAAAAAAAAAAAGTATAAATATGCCTTATATAGGTATGGTCCTACACTATATTATTCAAATATAGCATGATAGGTCCACTTTAAAGTACTTGTACTTTACTTGAGTATTTTCATTTCAAGCCACTTTATAGTTCTCTACAATTCTAAGGAGAAACATGCACTTCTTATTTCATATTTCTGTATCTTACAGCTTTACAAGTTAATAATAATGATTTTAGCATAAAAACACACCCGTTTATAAAATATAATGTTTTGTAATAAATTAAATTACAGTTTATTGATGATACAGCTGGACGATTAATACAAAATGTTGTATGTATTTTGAGTACATTTGAGTTTTATGATTGTTTTTATTTTAGACATTTCTACATTGTGTTACTTTTTTATTTTATTTACAATAGTATTACTTTATTACGCTTTATCAATTTTTTCTGTATTTTTTACAAGGTGATATTCGTACTTTGACTTGTAAAGGATGTAAATACCTCCCCCAACAGAACAACAGGTAAACAGTTTAGAGTAAACACTTGTATTGTGTGACCAGCTACAGCAGACTGACTTCAGAAAACACGCTAACATAATTTAGGGGAGATAGGGGTCACGGAAGGTTCTTCTTAACCTAAAACAACCTAATTTTCCCAAAGTTCAGTCTTCCCTCTACAAACCTTTAGGCTTTATCCACAAGATCTACTCACTGTGGAAGCTCTGATAATTAGACAGTCTCATGCTATCAGGACAGGAAATGACCCCTTTAGATTCTAACGGCCCGTGACCTTTCCTCCACTGCCGGCCTCAGGACAAACTACATGTTAGGCCTCATCAGCAGTGTGTCCATACAGTGGGGAACACAGCAGCTGACGGCTATAGTTAGTACGTTACGGATGTTATGATCCATGTTAACAATGAGAATAATACCATACAGAAAAACCGTAAGCAGTGGGTGAGACATTAGTGAGAGTGTGTCGGCCCCTCAGCCCCCTCTGTTGTCCTGCAGAGGTTCCAGTGGAGGTGGTAGATGACAACGTCACAATGTGAGGCGCTGTAGCTGCTTTACTCTAGCTCTGCCTTCGTTCTCTCTCATTAGTCTGAAGAGTGAGAGAGGGGTCCTTCACCTACTGCTGGGAAAAGTGTGGCCCCTTCACTGTAACACTGTTCCACTCTCTCCCTCTTGTCCTGTTTTACTCCAAGGGGGCAAATTAGTGGGTTGAATGAGCTTTGAGCACATGTGAGAACATGAGACTTTTTGACTTTGGTGATTCATAGCTTTTGCTTTACTCCAAATCTATCCATTTGTTTTGGTCAGCCCACCTACAGAGATATTAAAGTACATTTGTTAGTCTGTGTAGCGATAATTACATTTTTACACTGTAATATTAATATTAAATTCATTAATCTACACAACATATTATCACCTTAAAAAGGTGTTAATGCTAATACTATTCACCCTCTCGTCAATAGCATTTCAGTGAGTCAAATGTAGCGAATACACATTCATGATATTTACACATTTTGTCCAGCAGGATAATTTCCACATATTAACAGTTTCATGATTTTTATCAATTTCTTAAGCGTAAATTCAAGCGTGTATTACCTTTTTCCCTCTGTTTTAAAGTTTCAGTTTTATGTTTCTCTCTAATTCCTGTCTTTATGTGTTTTCCCGCCTGTTTTGATTGTCTGTCCTGGCCTGATTAGTTCTAACTGTTCCCCAGCCCTGCAACCACCTGTTCTCCTGCACTTCATCCCATCCCATTAGTTCAGATTTAAGTCTTGGTTTTTCTCTTGAGTCATTGTTGGATCCTTGTATGTTGGGTATCTTGAAGTTCTGTTGGCCTTGCCTCGCAAAACCTACAAATTAAGTTTTTTCCTGTGGCATGAGGTCTCCTGCCTCGTCTCCACTTCCTGTTCCTCAAACTTCATGGTCCGAAAGAGCTTACCAAATTCCTGCTTTTGTGATGAAGGTGAACACCTTCCCTGGGAAAACGTGCTGGTGAAAAGTGGTGAGTAATTTTGTCTCTTCTACTGTTCCTCTAAAATATGTTGAAGTTTCTAGAACCAAACCAAGAAGGAGAATTGCAAAAGGATAAGTAGGAAGCTCAGCAGCCGTGTCCCTATGGCCTGGTACGATCTGAACCAGGAGCTGATTCTGGTTCTGAAAAGGCTTCATTGTGGACTTCTTCAGGAGCAACACACCTGAAAATATTGTCTTGGCTGACCTCTAGTGGTTTCAGTGAGTTTTAGTTAAGGACCCTGTAATGTTCAGGTTACATCTGCAACAGAGCACTTTTCAGATCATGCCCAACCACAAGTCACCACACCCAGATCACTATCCACAGAGGGCAGCTAACCCGTACTGTTCAGCCTGGTGTCAACTTACTTTCTTTACTCACTTTAAATACCCCGAGGAGTTTCCCTGCAGGAGAGGGAGGTCGGTGCTGACCATTGTGTTGTGCAAATGTAGTTTACATACCACCCTGTGCTTGGTTCCAATGTGGAATTTTTAAAGAAGTTTAGTCCATGTGGGCAG